AACACGGAGAAAAAAAATTTACTTGTATTAACCTAAACCTCTGTGGTTATAATGAACGAACCAACCGCGTTTTGGTTGAAGGGAACGGAAAATTTTCAATTCCTAGAATGAAATTTGGGTCATAAGAAATACAGAAATTCTCCATTTTGGCGTCCAATTTGGACACTGGTGTTCTCTTTTATTGAAAACAAACTTCACGTTAATACAATCAAATTCTTGCTTCTCCATACATGATATTGTATGGAAACTACAAAAATATTAAAACGTCACGAAATTCATACACTCAGGATAAGTCTTTCTGCTTCTATTCTCTCTCCTATGATATTTTTGATAAAGGACGATTGACACATTCGATAATTTTGAAAGACGTGGAAACGTGACTCCCGACATAAATGGTAACCACGAAACCCGACACACTCGGATAGACATGATTTCCCCTTCACAACACTATCCATTAACCCTCGCCGAGAATGATATTTCAATTAGAAATACATCGGTCTGCTTTGTGCACAGAAAATCGATTGACACTGAGAATCGGTGTGAATGGCATATGCAGATTCCACGATGAATACGGTCGGAGGAAATCGCGTGTATATTGAGATGAAACGCGAATAATAGAACTAAACTCTCGACGTACAAGCATAATAATTTCACGCATATCGATTAAAGAGATTTAAAAAATTAATAACTACTAATTTGGAAATTAATTGGAAAAAAGTCGGGCAAAACTCCGATCGACTAGCTTTAAGACGCATAATTCATGGAACATTCTAGTAACTATTTTTTCATAAAATATTGTCAAAAATACTCTAAATAGCACATTTATAAGGTTTCAACTGCTCGATCTCAAGTGGTCCCTATTGGTACCGGTGATACTTAAAGGGTTAAGCGAAAATATCTCATGTAAAAAAAATAACAATAAATCGCAATAAAAGTACACCTCCTTCGTACATGGTATATTTTTGCTAGATAACACGTCTTTAAGGTCGGAGTCCGAGCATTCCACATGTAAAAAAAATGTAAAAACCATGAACTTCTCATAGTCTCACTTCTTTCTAGATATTGATTTTAAAGGCATGCTGGAGTTGAAAACTTTACCAACATAATACTGATATTCTTTTATAAAGTTTACGTCGTATTGGTTGTACAGAATTACAAATGCAGTGAAAGTATGTGCAAAAATAAATATGAGCATTGCTCAAGATGTGACAAAAAGGAAAAAAGATTTTGATGTAAAATCTCAAGTTGTCAACTAGCGTAATATTCGCCTAACTCAAAAGTTCCGCAGCTTGTACATACCGAAAGTGTGGATGCTATAAACAGAAAAATTTTAAAGAACATTGCTGTAAACTTCGCATCTGAATTTAGAAGCTTAAGAATATCGGAAAAGTTTTCAGGAAGATTTCTATACATAAAAAATAATTAGGTTATAGGTTAGGTTAAGTTTTACGCAGAATATAGTGAAACAAAGCAATACACATTTACGTAAGTTTTGTATGTACAAGAAATACAAAAAGGATAGCGCGATAATGTTAGTGACGATCATATCTATGTTATCGACATCGTTCGAGTTCGTCATCGACTTCAGCATCCCCCTCGCGAAACTGCGAAATTTAATTTCAATCTTCAGACGAGGCGCGCGCAACCTTGAAGAGAGCGGAACTCAATCGCGCTGAAGATGATCCAGATCGCGCGAGTCGAGAGTTACGCGAGATAAGTCTCGTTTCTTCTTCGCCGGAGGCACACACGGTCACGCAAGAATCCTTGACCTTCACACACGGCGTTTTGTTAATCGACTCTAACTCGTGATTTTGCGTCAAGATCGCGTCGAGAAGCACGCAAACCGCATCGATCGCCCACGCTCTCCACCTGCATGTGCGAGCCGAAGAGGTCGCGAACGAACGCGACAATACAGTTCACAGTGCATCGCGGAGAAGATTGATTTTGCTTATTATTATTTAACCCTTTCTCAGGCTCTTACTGTCGTGGTCGGAATTTAAGTGTTCTCTTTGAAAAATTGCGCGTATGTGTGAGAAACTTCTCTGCCGAGAGTTCCGCAGAAACGTGCAGGGCACGCGTTACGTCTCGGGGAGAAGATCAATAAAATCGACTAAATTGAATTTCTCACGCGAACTTCTCATGCACCTCAAGCGTCATGCATGCTTTAGCTCCCATTTATTTTTTATTTATTTTTTATTTATTTAACCACTTATTTATTATTATTAATAAATATCATCATAATTATTAAAGCATAATCTATTTAATTTAATAGTATCTAATAACCGTACATATTCGTTTGTATGACTCTATTGTAGTAACAGATCACTGATTTGACACATCACTTTTATAAATAAACAATAAATAATAACAATACATCGATAATGTATATATACTCAGGAAATTAATGAAAACAGTTGTATCATATATAACGGTTATTCTGCCGATTGATATACAAGTAAACTTCGTTATGACATCAAAGCATGCATGACACCTGATACATGTAATCCTTGTGACGTTGAGACGAGCGAAAAAAGACGAAGAAGTGTTTTCTAACTCTTCGGATATTTAAAACTTAAAATTTACAATGTGCTCTTTGTTTCCTATTTCTTGTTCTCTATTCTTGTTTTTTTTTAACTTAAAACTTAAATCTGAAGGCTTGAGCTTAACTTAAAAGCTTAAGGTTTAAATCAGAAAAAGATAAAAAAAAATAAACAGGAAGCAAAGAGCATATTGTAGATCAAGTTTTAGCGTTTGTGTTAGAAAGATAAAGAGAAATAAACAGGAAGTAAAGGAACACATTGTAGATTAATAATAATAGTAAGTGCAGGAGCCAACAGCAGAAAAGTGGCACGTGAAAGGCGCTCGCGCACCCGCATACGTAAGATTCTCTGCGTGCCGTTCTCGAAATACGCATGAAAAATGCGTAAACAAACGTACACGACGTATGCACACGATATGAGGCAACAAAACGCGCTTCGATACGCACGACAGTGCTTCGCGCGAGATGCTTCCGTAATCGGTGCTCGCGTCTCGAGGTCGGGGTAAAATTAACCCCTTCCCTTAGTGCGCATGTCAATTCACAAGAGTTGTCATATGTCGCGAATACGACGTTATTAATAGAAGCTGTCATTAATAGTGACTGCACTAAAATAGAGACTCGACGCGAAAAAAAGGCTTTCGCGAGGCTAGCGTCGACGAGAGAGAGAAACAAGGACGGCGAAAAAATGTCATAACACTCGGTTGGTACACAACGTCAGTTGAATCGACACGAGCCGAGGGAGCAAAACAAACTGACTGTGTCACCCACTTTCGGGGGCACAGATTCGGCACTTACTTACTTGGCGGCAGCAACGTGTCCTCCTAGCTGGCAGGATAGCGCGGAGTCGTCGCTGTCGTTGTCACCGACGTTCGCCTCTTCTGCAGAGTGCTGGTGATACGCCACGGCATGGCTCCTGTTGTCGCCGGTTCTCCGCGGGTTCGCGACGAGCTTGTACATGGACGTGCACGACCACTCACGAGGACGCGACGCACCGCCGCCGTTGACGACGACCGGTCGGCATCGCCGAGGTCGGTGTGTGCGCGCGCGGATCACGACGCAATCCGAGTCTCAGTCCCGATCGCGCACTCCCGGGTCAGCGCACGCAGACGACACGACCAGCGACGATTACGCACGGTCACGCACGTTATCACCCTGTGCGTTCACGGAACCGATGGTAGTCCGTCACTTGCTGCTTTTGTCGCGCGAGCACCGCGACGCCTCGCGACGCTACCTACGCGGACGGCCGCGTGAGCACATCTGGCGCCCTCCCGCCGCGGCCTGTCGCCAACATACGCCTGGGCGCCCGCCGAGCCGCGCCGCTGGCGCCATCCGTCGGTGACGGCGAGTACTACCATGGCGGTTCTTACCGCCCAGCTCGAATATTGTCGTAACGGTTTTTATCTTCGACAGTGCCCGCAGATAATACGTCCGAGTCGCGACGATTAACGCGATAAATGATGACGACGCGAACGCGCACGGCTTACGACGAAACGCCGAACGGCTTTTCGAACCCGACCTGATGCGACGTCCTTATCTCAAGCGACGCTTGAGATTCTCGGATCGACATTGTCACGCAATCACGAATCTTTGTCCCGACGGCGGTCCTTTATCGCACTTGGATGCGTCGCAACGCGCGCGGGACGCTTACTTGCGACATTCTCAGCGATAATTCGCGATCCGGACTCGGCCTCGGTGGCTCGAGAGCGGCGATTTCAACTGTCTTGTCGCAGTGGACGTACGAAACTTTACTCGACATTCGCGACGACCGAATTTTGCAGGATACTCATTCTCAGCGATACCATTCGATCACACCGTTATAACGAAGCTGACTTACTTTCAGTCCGGTCGGTGACGATAACCCGCGCTTGCCATTGATTCTGGCCAAAATGGAACGACTACCCTCGAATTCGTGCCAC